TTTTTTTTTTTTTTTTTTTTTTAGCTGCTTTCAAAGGAGAGGGTGATTCCAGCTTCTTTATTCATGTTGTGGGGGGTTCCCTTCATTTGTCTAATTATTTTTAGATGTAACATTCCATGTTACAATTCTCATGAAAAATCACAGAACAGACTTGGAGATTACCACAGGAGCTCTTTTCCTTAGCTAAATGGACTACCAAAAAAAAAATTCTATCACTTTTCTCTGCTTATATAGAGTCAAACAGCAAAGATGGGCCTCAGCAAAATGCATCTTGTGTGGAGTGCAGTAGGAATGCACTCATTGCCTCCTTTTCCTTTTCTTTCTATTGAAATACAAACTTAGTCTCTGAATTGTCCTTAACTTTAAAATCATTAGAAAGTGTACATACCAACATGGGTAAATGCTTGTGATAAGCCATTTGATTTACTGTGAAAGTAAAAAAAAAATCAAAATTGTGATACCACAATTACAGTGATGAGATAAAGATTTTGTATACAAATGGACAAAGTTAGAACACATAAAAAATAAAAAAGGCATTCACTCATCTTGGTAGGGGCCTCATATATTGTTATTCTTTGTTTTTTACTTTATTTTTCTACCATTGTTTGTGTGATTGGTTTTTAAATTTATCTAAAAGGTGAAAAAAAGTTGATGGGGTGCAGAGAAGGAGCCTGCTTTCTTAGATAAGATGAAGGACTGATGCCATCATGGTGCTGGTGCAGTGACAGACAAGCCAGGCCAAGGAAAAGGGAGGGAAACTGACCAATGCACGTACAGAGACTCTGTATAGGAACAACATCATTCCCATAAGTAAAGCCCGAGTGGATGAAAACCATTTTGGGAAAAAAAGCACATTAAGCTTTTACAATAAAGTCAGACAAGCTTTAATGCTTTAGGTAGAGAAAGGTATCTCCAATATGCAAGCATCATATATATTTGGAAAGAAATTAGAAATTCAACACACTAAAATTAAAAGCAATTTTCATATAAGATAATAAAGTTAAATTCAAGCTATAGGTTTAGAGGCTTTCCATGTGCAAATAACAGGCAATGGAGGAATTATTTGGAAAAGATAAAACCTATTTTCTTTTAAATGGATAAGGGCTATGAAAAAGCATTTTTGGCTAATACACATTATGGCAATATGTTCATCCTTACTAACCAGAGAACTATAAATTAAAGCTGCATGAAATACCATGTGACACCAATATGATTGCAAACTCAGATGTCTGCTAGTTCCAAATGACAATGTACATGTAGAGTGGCAGGTCATAGATACTGAGGGAGGATGTTTAAACTTTGGAGGCCGATCTGTCAGTATTCCATGGAGTTTAAGATGAGTTTTTAATGTAGGTCTAACAATTGCTCATCTAGGGAACCCTATGTATAAAAAGAGACATATGGAGAATGTGTTCATTGTTACCAGTGGTGAAAAACCAGGATAGTCTAAAAGTTCATTAATTAGACAAAGGACAACTAAATAAACTATCTAAATAAATAAATAACAAATTGTATCATCATGGATCAATCTTGAAAAAATGAAAAGGTATACTAAGAGTGTGGGACCACTTACATAAAGCTTAAAAACCAACAAGATAATAGGTAATGTATTATTTACAAATACTTGCATATCTGGAAAGTGTCAAGACAGGCTTGTGTATAATACTCCCCCCAATGTGGGGAATATGATTTTTGTGGACATCTGGCTCACAGCAGATTCTTAACAACTGCTTGAATGACCATGAGGAAAGACCACTTTCCTTCCCAGCTGTCCCAACTCACCTCGAATTCCAGTTCCTAGAGTCATTCCTCTCCCATGTAAGGCTCTTCTGGGGACCAAGTTCTGGAGTTGTAGACAAGTCCTGGTCACTGTAGTCTTCCTGGTCTGTGGCCCACTTATCTTTGGATTTCACGATGTCATGCTGAGAATCTAGTGAGATGATGTCTGAAGGTGAACTCATCACCCCTGAGTCCTCTGTTGTGTCTTCCGATGCGAAACAGCTGCCAACAGACACAGTTTCCTCGGCCTCTGACAACACGGGAGGAACCCCATCTGTGCTGCAGACACCTCCAGCGTCCAGGGGCAGTGTCACTGGACAAAACATGGCAAGAATCAGATCAGTGGACACTTGAGCTCCCACACTGTCCATCAAGCCCAGCACCAACATGCCTGCCAAACCTGAAATTGGGAAATTAGGGCGCTAAGCTTAAAGGAGGGCATATATAAACACAGCCACTTCCTTGGAGACACTGAAAGCAGAGGGCAACATGTACGCATGCATGGCTAAGTACAAAATTCTCCTTCAAAAATCAACATTTTGGGGAAAAGCCCTTTGAATTTTTATCCTGTCGGTGACTGTAAAAAACATTTAAACATTTAGACAACCACATGGCTGTTTTGAGCCAGAACCTTGTTTTAATTAAAATCACTGCAAAATGAGTTCTATTTAAAAATGAGTTTAAAAAATATAAAGAAACTTAGAAACAATGCTGTGTGGGAATTTTTTACATTTGACAAATGGCTTAAAATATAAATGTCATTGGGTCAGTATCTGGTGCTCTCTTCATTTTCAGACGTGAGAAGAGTTCTAGTTTATATAAGAGATAATGATAGAAGAGCATCTTTAAGTAAAATTAAAAAGAATTCTAACAAAGCACCCTTGATCGAGGTTCTCTGGCCCTGAGCACTAAATGTGATTTACTGGAGAGAAGGAATAAACACATAGAGATGTCAGTCACTATCAAAGGCAAGATCCCCACAAAACATGAATATGAACAGTGGGAACACTGTTAGACACATCTGTGGTGCTCTTTGGAGATTATTGAGTTTTTTTTTCCTAGTGAGATTATAGGTTCTCTAAGCTCACTGACAGCTCTATGCATAGAGAAGAAAAGTTCTGGGTTTAGGAGACAGGATTCAAAACTCTGACCAGCTGGAAACACCAGAGCTCTTTTTATAATGTAATGCAGAAATAGACTTCTATTTCATAACCCCTTAAGAGTTATCTAAGTACTATTCATGTAGTTCAGGAATTAGAATGGTGCTATGTGTCATTTCCTTGTATTTGGTTTGAAAATTATTGCTCTAGTCAGCGGTCAGAGGATGCCTAATGTGAATAAAGACCACAGACACGCAGAGTGCACACACCCCATCATCATGCTCCGATGGTGGTGACATCATAACTGTACTTAACAACACTGTGATTTTAACTGAACAGTAGACTAGCAGTGCAGAATTAGCAAAACCTAAAGAGCACTAATGAGAAAGTCCTTCAGCTGTTGCTTTATTTGGGGTGATGAATAATAAAATAAACAAATGAGCACAATTAAAAGTTAAACATTTTACAAAGAAAGTTGAAAAGTATAGAACAGAATGCAAAGAAGGGATGGATGGCGAGGGATGTGCAAATGCATAAAGCAGTATGTCTGCGCACAGTGAATGCATTTTAACAGTCAACTCTTTCCTCTAGTTCTCTTCTTGTCTTTGTTGCAAGACTTTTAAATGGAGGACAAATGTAAAGAAAAAACTCTACTTCTAGGTTAATACCACCAAAATCTTTTGTTACCCAAGTCCAACCCAATGTTGACACCGCTCAGAGCTTTCCCAGTGCACAGCTGTCAAGGGCAGCCCAGATGATTCAGACAGACACTTTTCTTGTCTCCCTTCACCACTGTCACTAAAATAGGTCAACTAAATTAAAACATTTTTGTTCTAATGTAAAGCAGCACAACTTAGTAAAGACCATATTTCAGGTCACAGAGACCTGTACTCAAACATGTGTAACTGTTGATGGACTGCTCAGGCATCTGAATGATTTGCCATCTCAGGTACATCTGGCGGACCCCAACAACTGAATTTCTCTAATAATCCTAGGTGATGCCGTCATTGTAGGTCAGGTCCACACTTGGGAAAATGCTTCCTCAAACATCTCCTGAGCTACCAGGGCAGTTCCCTCTCCCAGCTCTTACACAGCTGGGAATAAGCCACAGATAAGCCTGGTATATTGCTAAGGGTTTTCTGTCCTACTCACACTGGAGTTAATGGACTGGTAAGTTTTTAAAATTCACATCCAGTCCTTTCTCTCACAAGGCAGGAGTATTTTTCTCTTTCCTTAACTGGCAGGTGCTGCTTCCCATCTCAATGCTTGTCAACTATCTCCCACTTTGAAGGAAAGTCACCAAAGAATGTCTTTAATACAGTTACAAGTGATATTTTGCTGGGAATTGCAGAGGGGATATGGCTTCTATAAAAACCATACTAGAATGATTTCAAAAGGAAAGTGACATATAAAAAGAAAACACATCCCCAAGTGGTTGCAAATTATTTCTTAATAAAGAGAAAGGATGTATTGGTGGAGGGGGTGAAAATAAACCAGGAAGGAAAAGTGAAAGGTGTCAACTCTGGGCAGAAGGTACTGCATCACAGAGTCCAGGGAGCATGAGTTCTGGAACCACTGCAGGATATGCATGGGAAGGAGTCATGTGTCAAAAATATTTCTCACAGTGGAAGTACCTTAAACAGTCATCTGGGGAAAGCAGCCCTTCTCAACAGTAGAGGGAATGTATGATTTTCAAAGGACTCTCACCTCACATTTGGCATAATTTCACTTGCCTATTTTACCCCATTGACTTTCCTGGTCTATGTGATTTCTATGGTTACTATTAATTGTATAAAATGCCTGATGTTTGGGAAAGACTGAATAGTACAGACTGTTCAGATGGATTATTCAAACAATCCTTTGTCCTGAAATAATGGAGAAAACACTTTTTTTATACTGGAGATACTCCACTAGGTGCTTGTTGCAAGGCAAATTCACTATAATTTTAGAAACTACAAAGCACTAATATGGCATCAAAAATGAGTAGAGAAATGCTGAATAGTCACTAAGGTTATATAACCCACTGTACATTGTCTAAAAGCCACACAATCAGTAACATATGGTGTGCATGAGAATAAGTGAAGGTGACACCACAATTCTGTCTTCCTCACCAGGGTCAGCTTACCTTGGAAATTCGCATCCACTCTTAACAAAAGTAAGGTCTGTATGAGGCCTGTCATTTTAGAAAAGGTTTTCAGTCTTGTTCAAAGTAAACAGATTAAGCCAACAATAAATTAAAAGTTCCATGCTAAAACCACCTGTCTAAATTGCAATTACAGTGGCCCAAAATAACTTAGTTTTGCTGACCAGAAAATGCTTATCTCAGCAAAACCTACCAGTTCCCAAAATAACTTCATGGGTGCTCCCTGCTCCCCACACCCCACAGCTCCTCTCTGTTACTAACATTTGCCCCAAGGGCTCCAAGATGGAAGTAATGAACACTTTGTACCTTCATTCCCACCCTCTGCCCTCATCCCTTAGCAATGTCTCCACCACAATTGCATTTTACAGCATTCTCCCATATGATTCTTTTGAATTTCAAAATAAATTTCTCTTTATCTAGTATAGAAAGTGAAGAACACAAAACAATTGGAAAGAAAATAACCATTCATCCCCAAAATAATCATGGTTTGTATTTCATTATATTTCCTTCAGTCTATTTGTTTAGAAAGCTTTAGGATACATGTATAACAAAACTTCTCAAGTATGTGAAGAAAATTAGATATATAAGTCACTTTATACTCAATTGATTACACACACTATTTTTCTCCTATCAGTTTAAATAATTATGCCGCTAATTTAACAGCAGTCTTGACCAAATTAGTCCTGGAAGATTTTTTTTTTAAAGATTTATTTATTTATTCATACAGAACTGGGGTACAGGCCAGAAATGCAGAGGGTGAGACGATTTATCAGGGACAGTGAGGAGCAGAACAGGCAGATCGACGAAGTATACTGCTGGAGGGAGAAGCGGGTGGGTCAGGAGAGGTCTCTGCCACGCCATGTGGATCTCCTCTGGGGCAGGTGGGGATCGAACTCATGTGGAAGTGGTTTAAGCTTCTTAGTGCAGTGCTTTAACCCACTGCACCACCAGGTAGGGCCAGTCCTGGAAGATTTTGACTGTCTCATCCATAAATGAGAACAAGAACCATCATCTTTTATTGAAGCAGTTGCCATGAAGACTACATGCCCATGAAGACTACACGCCAAAAGGTGGTAAACAATTAGGACAGCCCTTGTAATATAATAGCAATTTGGTAAGTGTTGTTACTTACTAAGATAAGCTTGTTGCTATTTTGACTAGCCTTGTAAAGCAGATGTAATCATCAGCAAGTAATCATTCAGGTCTCTCCTGAAACTGGAAAAGATAACCACCTCAAATACATGGGATTTTCAGAAACTGGAGACTTGAAGCACTTCCCTAGGCTCAGCACATCTCTGAGACCCTAACTTATGCCCCTGGTGGAGAGAAGAGGGCTCTGAAAATGGTGACCTCCCAAGGGGTGGCCTGGGAAGCTTGAGAGATACAACTTTGTTGCATCTGAAAAAACAGACATGGTGATTGGGGGGAGACAGAGAGGGATGAATGAGTGGTAAACAGTATCCAATATTATTGTCATTTATCTGTCATCCTGATGAGATCTAGAGTCTTCCTTTTCCCTTGCATCATCTTGGCCTATTTTTCTCATATCCCCACTTCAACTGTTGATGCCTTTTCTTTCCTTCAGTTTTCCTGGATCTTCACTCTCTCCTCATTTTGTTATCCTTCAAGAAAGGGCCCTCGGCTCTCAATTCCCATGTCAGGATACAATGGAGATGCTAATCCCAAGTCGTATTTAATAAATCCTCCACTGCCACACGTTCCAAAAGGTGCCAGCCTCAGACACTGCAGATGCTTCTTCCACTGCTTGTCTTTGGTGCACACATATTTATTTATCCTTGTGGTCAAAAGTCAGCCCACCTGCAGGCAAGCTCCATCTCACCTTCCACCCCACAGAGGCCGGGGAACAACAGTAAGTTTCACTGTCAAACTTAATTATGTCTTCCACATGATGGCTAGAGCATATGTTCCTGTCTATAGACTAGTTCATAGATAAGGTTCCCATCCCATTTGTTTTTCATCCCAATTTTCTTATTTTCTGAAATTTTACTGAACTATATCTAACAATAGGAAAAATTATAAATGTAAATATATTTGTCATATTTTATCTAC